CGAGTTGGTTCCAGCGCCGCCAATGTGACACAAGGTGTTCCACCACGTGGACCCATTTCTACGAGCTCGATTACTCCACGACGAAGAGGATGTATGAAGCACACGATGCGTCTTCGGAAAGCTCTCGACGAGACGGCTCCAGCGTCACCATGTTCGGCACCGCCACTCTTTCCGCTACTTTTGTTCTCGAGGCGATGGATCTCTTGATGATCCGACGGGGGGTGACGATATTGCGTTCCCAAAACCGAAAATCGAAAATTGCCCAAAACGAAACACAACACAAAAAAAAACACACACACAGGTCTGTACATACACACCGTCCGTAAGGCCGCGTGGCGAGGAGATAGTGAGGACAATATACGCCGTCATCTACAATATTTTGTACCCGGCTCTCGCTGTGGGATACCTGGCGATGACCTCAGGGCCGACGACTCGCAGCCCCATCCCTCGCCCTATTTTTGGTCCTCCGCACGTTCTTGGCTGTCACATTTTCTTGTTGTGCAACAATTTGGTGTGCAACATCTATTTTTTCATGGCTGTGTGTTGCCTTGATCCTTGTCCCATCCACTCTGCTCGCACCTTTATCACATTTTCTTGTGTCATTTCTGCAACAATTTGGTGTGTAACGTAACATCTTGTGTATCATGGCTTTGGGTTACCTTGACCCTTGTCCCATCCACTCTGCTCGTACTCTCATCACAGGTTATTTTGTCTCTTGTGCCAAGCATTGGTGTGTAACATTGCGTATGTTATGGCTGTGTGTTACCTTGACCCTTGTCCCATCCACTCTGCTCGTACTCTCGTCACATTGTCTTTGGTGTTCTTGTGCCAAGAGATTGGTGTGTGGCCTCTCTTTTTACCGCTGCATGTGTTACCTTGACCCTTGCCCCATCCACCGCTATCCTGCGGTCGGGTGCCAGGTCGTGACCTCTGTAGTCGAGGGCCGCTGGACGGTGCGAAAGGCGGTCGACGACGGGAACGCTCAGGTGTTGTACACGGCGAGATGAGGAATCCGAGCGTCAGAAAGAGTGTTCACGGGTCGACTGTCGCGGTTTTCCCGTTGTGCAAGTGGATACAAGTTCCAAGCTTTTTGTGATGAGTCTGACACGAACATATCCGGAAGTCGTGACAGGGGATTTGTAATGAGAAAGGACGAAGGCGTGCTTTCTTGCGTGCGCGCATCGTTTGCCGATTTGCGCCCACATCCTGGACAAGATAGCCGGGAAATGAGTGAAAACCTTGATGAGTTCGACGCTCATTTGCATCGGTTGCTCTTGAGGGGGAGAATTTTGGAGTCGCCCCCGGCGTTTAGCACAGTGTCTCAGAGTGTTTCCTGAAGGTGGCGGCACAACAGCCGTGCGTTTTTGGCTTGTTGGGTGGGAGCACCCCTGCTATTTTCCGCACCAGATTGCGCGCCGTCTTCGGGAAGGTTTGGAGCCCCGCGCGTTTCATTTTTTATCTGAAACCTTGTGCTGAAATCCTTGCGCTGAACGCAAGCGTCTAGGCGCCGAGATCTGGATTCCTCGTGTAATCCGCATAGGCTAATTGCGCAGGGATGTACTAAACACGATGAATCCCCATTCCGGTGCGTCTCTCGTGCGCTTTTTGCTGGGTTGTCGACCGTTGGCGATGACGCAGGTACTGTCGCGGAAGCTTAACCAGCGGTACTTCCGGGGCAGCCTGTACATGGAGACGGACGTCGAGGTCGGCTCGTCCGTCGCTGCGGAGAGCGTGGTAAGGAGAGCACACGGCCGTGGCCAAACAACCCGGCTGTGGTTGTCGAATTATTGTTGTATAATCGACGCATCAAGCACAAACGCTCGGCCGGCTGCATCTGCCGCCGCACTCAAAGAAATGGTATCTAGGAGGCATCAGCAGTACACCGGCCGCAGGCAGGAGGCAAACCGGCGACAAACCCAAAAATGCCCGCCCCTACCTGAAGCATCAACACCTACGCTACCACCCACGCAACCATCACCACCACCTAGTAGCGCCAAGGCCACCGCCACCGTCATCAGAAGAAAAAACAACATCCGACCGAAACCGATGGTCCCCGAAACAAAGTCGTACCGCTGGACGGAAATCTAAGTCCCGTACGGGAAAACGGAAATCTAAGCCCCGTTGAAATATTTCGAGCCAGCCGTACGGCTAGACAGTGAATATGTGTGGTTGTTTTGGTATCCTTGTCCTTTCGTCTCTACAGTACCCTTCGCGAGAATTTTGTATTGAGAGAAGCATGTTGGATAAACCACGCAATCGGGGAAGTTGGGTTAGGGTTAGGGTTAGGGAATAGGTTTGCGTACCCCCTCCCTGTTCTATTTCTTTTGTGATTCTGAATTTCTCGCGAAGGCGGTCGCGTTTCTACTATTGCACCCCACCCTTGTTCGCCTCCAAAACACGCGGTGCCTGTGCTGGGCAGGTGGGTGTTTGTCTGACGGAGCCGTGCGTGCTGGACGTGGGTTTCTTCCTCGAGGGCGGCCACCGGGTCCTGGGCTGCGTCCGCGTCAACGACTTCAGGCTTAAGGTCGCCGAGCCTCTCCTTGCCCCCGACTCCGTCGCGACCCCGCCCCCGCCTCCCGTCCGAGAGGTGGGTCGCGCCGCACGTTGGCGGGCATCATTCTGGTGTTCTCAACGCGGAGCTTTCGTCCATTGAGCAAGGAAGGAGCAGTAAATGCCTTTGGTTCACGCGAAAGGGTGTGGCGTTCGGTTCGGTAGCCCTGCGCGGAGATGAGGGCGAGGAAGGGAAAGGGGGAGGGAGGAAGTTTGAGTGTGGACGGCTAGGGAAAATTGGTCAATTTTCGTGCACACCTATACGATGCTCTCGCTTCTGCGCCGGGCGTTTCGCTGATGGTATCAAAATCTTCATGTTTTGCCGTTCGGCGAGCGATTTGAAAATTTACACCCATGGCAATACTGCAGAGAGCGCAATGGGTCTGGGTTTTGTTTCATGCAACTATGTATTGTTGCTGCTGCTGCTGCTGCTGTTGCCTGTAAACATTGATGCGGTGTGGCAAGACGATGGCCGCCGCCGCCGCCGCGGCCCAAAGGCCGTCCGCGTTCGGCCCCCCTCCGCCCCCTGCCGCCACCGCTATTACCGAAGGCGGAGCAGCGGTGGCTTCTGCAAGAGATGGGGGGCTACCGTCCGCGAACACGCATGAGACGCTTCCGCTGGGCAATCCGCAGTTCCAGGACACGTGGGAGGACAACGGCGAGTCCCACAGGTTCAGGGTGAGGGGCCCCGGGTACTTGTACGGGGGTGGTAAGGTGACCGCCGGGGCCCCCTTCGGCAAGCTTGTACGTGCGGATCTTTACAAGGTATGTGGGTGGGAGGACGGTAGGTGTCAATCGACCCCCAGTAATCTTCCTTCCCCTCGCTGACTCGGCAAGATTATGCGTAGGCATGACCCATAGCGAGGGGGGGGGAGGGGGGGGGGTACTCATAGTCGTGCATGCCGTAGTCGTTCGACCATTGACCTCGCATCCCTACAAAGCCGGGACGGAGCACGCCGGGTTCTCACCGGACCAGGCTCTCACATCACCAAG